CTGTGTGTACAATCCTGTAGCCAGACAGCTTGAGGAAGGAGATTCTTCCCCTCACTCTGACGCTTGAGACCACATCTGGAGTACTGTCTTTAGGGAGCCCCAGTACAAGACAGATGTTGATGTACTGGAGTGAGTCCAACAAGATGGTTAGGGGCTGAACTGCATGACGTGCAAAGAGAAGCTGATGGGATTTCTTCAGCCTGGAGAAGGCAAAGGAAAGATCTTGCTGATGCCTACAACAACCTAATGGGAGGGTGTTGGGGAAAACGGTGCCACAGTGGGAAGACAAGGGGCAACGGACACGAATTGGAACATGAGATATTCCAAGAAGATATAAAAGAAACATTTATCATGAGGATAATCAAACACTGGAATGCATTGACCAGAGAGTTTGATTAAAAGACAGTTTTCTAACTATTGATTAGCCCTTCTCTTAAAACAGTTTTTTGTATTTGGATGAATTCTGGTTAGTAGACTGTGATGCCCCCTATGATTTTGTTCCAGTTGCTATAGAGTACTCTTGAGCATCTTCTGGAAAAGGTCTGTAGGGAGGCTGTTAGTCTCTACAGAAATAATTGAGTTGATGCTTGATAGAACAAACCAAATTTTGGAAATGTCTGGTGAAAGCCTATTAAAAATACCCAGCTATGTTCATCAGGTAAGGTATGATTAACTTGTATGGCATGGTTAATGGAATACTATTGTAAAATAGAGTATGTTTTATTATTCCAGTTGGAAAAAAAAACCAAATAAGGGCTTGTATTCCCAAAAGTACCACATCTTAAATGTGTATCAGTCCAACAGAAGTAATTGTCTTTGTGTAAAGACTTGCTCTTGGTTCTATCTGTAGTGGCTAGAGCAGTACTTATGAAATCTTTAAAAGCATTTTTTCCCCTTGAGCTAACACTTTCAGAGTTCCTGTCGTTATGGGGACTAGGAGAAATCTAGGAATTTATTACAAAACAGTATTTTTGTCCTTTAATTTCAAGGGAGGTTATCCAAGATAGTATAGCTGGAGAGAATAAAAATGAAAAGGTTCTGTGCCATCTCTAATAGCAGTTGTTGGTCTTTTGTCCTGATTGCCTGCAATTATGGGGTGAGATCCTTTTCATTTGGGGCAGGGGAGGGTTGTTTGGGGTTGTTTTTTTGGTTGGTTTTTGTTGGGGTGGGTTGGTTTTGGTTGGTTTTGTGTGTGTGTGTGTGTGTGTGTGTTTTCTCTTTCTTTTTCCTCTGGCTGTACCCTTAAGGGTAGCAATGTTGAGATGCATGAAATCAGTCAGGGTCTAGTATAATGCAGACGCATGGCTGATACTTCAGATAGACATAGGGTTAGAGTGTTACAGCAAGGCTGAAGGGAATAACACTTTTTGCTGATATTTGGTGCTGTCTGGGACATTGCTCTGAATGAAGAACAAATCCAGAAGAGCTGTCCCTACCTTTCCAGTGTGGAGCTGTGCCTAGGAACTTACTTGTTAATCATTATACTGGAGTTTATGCATAATAGGTAATCATAGTCAGGTTTTCTTTATGGATTCCCTTATTTCAAAATGATAAATTTATTTGCTAAAGCTTGTCTTCGTTTCATTATACTGGGGCGCATTCATTTTCTGGGGCGCTTATGTTACTGAGTTTCTTTGGCTGAATAGTCAGATAACATACCCATTTTCTACTGAATGTGCTCTTGACATGCATTTATTTTTTTTAATGGATATTCTTACTGAGAGCTACAAATACAGGTCAGACTGAACTTATGTCGATACTTGTTTGAACTGGCTAACTTGGAAATGACAATTTCTTTTTTGTCTTTAAAAATATAATTTTGTTTACTGTGATACTTTTGACCCAAAGTGTAAACAATATCTCCTATTATTTCTCTGGGATGCATTTTTGGTCAGAACTGAAAAGCTGTGAAGCAGTCAGAATATTTTTTTCACTGGTGAGATGGATAAAAGATTAGCTGAGACTGTGTTAGACTGAAAAGGAGAAAAGGACTAAAGGTCCAAACTTCAAATGAGAGGATATTTTAAATGTTGGTAATTTGGGATTTTTGGTAGGATACAGAACAAGCAACACTTCCTCTCTTCAAATGACTGTGTTTGATCAGATGCTAGTCTGATTGAGAGTTATATAGTTGGTCTACATGTATAAGTAAATGGATCAACTGAATTATCTGCTGTTCTTATATACATTTGTTCTTAAGTATTTTTTACTTAATAGTCCTGGTTTCAGCTGGGATAGAGATAATTTTTTCTTCATAGTAGCTAGAATAGTGCTGTTTTGGATTCAGTATGGGATTTCATATGAGAGAATGTTGATAATACACTGATGGTTTTAGTTGCTGCTAAGAAATCAAGGACTCTTCAACTTCTTATGTCCTGCTAGTGTGCAGGTAGACAAGAAACTGAGGGGGATCATAGCGAAAATAACTGACCCAAATTGGCCAGTGGAATATTCCATATCATCTAATGTCATGCTCAGTATATAGATGAAGGTTGGCTGGGAAGGTGACTCTCGCTTCCAGGATTGTGGTTTCAGGATTCTTACTTCTCTGGAATCACTGCCCAGGAATGGGACGGGTATTGGTCAGCGAGTGGTGAGCAGTGATGTTGTGTGTTACTCGTTTGTATCTTCTATTATTACTGTTATTATTTTACTTCTACTTTATTTCAGTGCTGTGGTTTGAACACAGCTGGCAGCCAAACACCAGGCGAGCACTTGCTCACTCCCCTGCCCAGGGGATGGGGGTGTTAATTGGAGATGTAAAGGGAGACATGTAGGTTGAGCTAAAACCAGTTTGATAATTGAAATAAAACAGTTAACAGTAAGAGAAAGTATGAATGGGTAATGCACAATGCTATTGCTCACCACCCACTGACTGATACCCATCCTGTTTCTGGCTAGCAATCCTGAAATACCGAGATCCCACAATCACTATCCTGAAAATGAGGCCCCACTCCTTCCTGGCTGCTCTTCTTTTATATACAGAGCATGATGTTACATGATGTGGAATATTTAATTGGCCAGTTTGGGTCCAGTGCTCTGGCCATGCTCCCTCACAGCTTCTTGTACACCTGCGCACAGGCAGGACATGGGGATTTGGAGAGTCCTTGATCTCATAGCAACAACTGAAAACATCAGTGTACTATCAACATTCTTCTCATACTAAATCCCATACTGAATCCAAACCACAGCACTATTCTAGCTACTAAGAAGAAAAATTAACTCTATCCAAGCTGAAACCAGGACATTCAGTTACTAAATTGGTTTTATCTCAACTTATGAGTCTCCTTACCTTTACTCATTCCAGTTCTCTCCCCCATTCCCTGGAGTGGGGTAATATGAGCAAGCGGCTTCTAGTGTTTGGCTGCTGGCTGGGTTTAAACCATTACACTAATGTTTCCAAATCTCTTCTTTAAGCAGACGGATTTGAATTTCCCTTATCATATAAGGTTCTAGTCTCTGAACTTTTAAAATATTTCTCTGTATGATGATCTATGTGACAAAGCGCATACAGGCTGACTACCATGAGGTTTATTTGATGGTGGTCTTGGAAAGTGTCAGAAAGAGAATTGACTTAAAAATATCTCTGCCACTCAAGGATTTGTAAAATGGTTATGGAACTTTGTTCTTTTACAGTTTAATTCATAATAGTGGTGTTAAATGGTGTTTAGAATCTGAAATTTTCCTAATCTGTGCAGAAAGCAAAACGTGGAATCTTATCTGTTTTTCACTGTGTTGGCAGTGTATATAGTTTTCTTAAGAAAATGCTACCACTGTTTTTTCAGTTTATCTGTATTCAGTATATCTGTACACCAACTGTAGCAACCTTTAAAATTATTTTCTGACATGACATTTCACTTCAAAACATATTTGGTTAATCACTTGCAAAGAAGACTTTTAAAGTGTGTATCTGGGTTCAGGGTAGGAACTTTCAAAATAGAAGCCCAAAGCAAGTTTTCAGGGCTTGATAGAGACAAAGTTATTACAAAATGTAAATTGTGACTGTATGAAGACCTTTTCTTTAGGAGTTGTGTGTCTGAATTTATTGTTGTCCTATTTTAAAGATATTAATGAGATGTTAAATCGCTTCTATGTTGACAAATGAACACTTTATTTTTCCTTGTGGATTTTTTTAAGTTCTACTAAGCACCAGAAACATTTGGAAAATTAAAAAAAAAAAAAAAAGTGAAATGTTGAATCAAAATTAGATATTAAGCCTCCAAACCAAGTATTTTGATTCATCTTGAGTGTAAGGTCATTTTGCTAGTAGAATAATGGAAGTGAACTGGTAGGTAGTAGTAGACCTTAAAATTGTTACCAGGAAAAAGGAGAGTAAGAAGTAAGAAAGCCTTGGACTTTCCATTACCTAGATGGTTTTGAAATGAAAAAACATATTTTGTAATTGTTTATATGGAGAAAATACACTCTAAAAGCAGTGCCAATGATAGTACTTCACAGAAGTTGCATTTCCCTTGCTCCATAGATTGTAAGAAACAGTTCTGGTAGTTATGTGAGCAGCTGGTTGCAGTTACTGATTTATCCCTGTCAAAATAGGGAAAGATTACTTGAGCTATTGACGTAACACTTTTCTAAATACTACGACCCTGTAGTTCTAAGATGCAGTTACTATGAAGTTATAAAATAATTTGTGTTCTGCAAGTCGCATATTCTTGTTTTAGTTTTGTGTTATGTTCTCTGGGATGACTTAGAACCAGGCAAAGGCTTGCACAGATGCCACATAGAAGTGTCTTAAATTACTTAGAGGAGGAAGAGTTGTGCTGCTGAAATCTTGGAGATTTAATTGTAAATCTGATGCTAACATGGGAATGTGAAATGTTCACTGATAGGTGTAGAGCTCTGATTGACATCTTTGTAATACGACAAGATCCTGGATACTTCTGTGTATTTTGTAACACAACAGTTCTTCACTTAGCAGTGTTGCAAATAAGTTCCGTTGCATTTTACCAAAAATTTGTTTAAAATCTGTGAAGTTTTTTTGCCTGTGACTTTTCAGTTTTATTTCTAGGAGAGAAGTCTTCTCTCTTCCTCACTTTCCAATTCCACTTTGTATTTAAATTCTCAAATAAAATTCCTTTTACTTTTCAATAAATGATGAGATGTAGTTGAGTATGCATGTTTATCACTGAACTTTATTTAATATTTCAAATATTCTATACCATTTCTTTATAGAAACGATTACAAAAAGAACTGTTGGCATTACAAAATGATCCACCTCCGGGAATGACTCTAAATGAAAAGAGTGTACAAAATTCAATTACACAGTAAGTATATATACTGTTTTATTTTTGCTATAAAGCGGAAAAGTAAGTAATGAGAAGTTCTTTGTATGCCACTTCTACCACTTATTCCCAGTATTTCTGAATTTTTTTTGGTTTTAGTCTGGGGAGTGAAACATTGCTGCTCTTAATGAGCATATTGCAGGAACTGAATAGTGAATTAATTAAATTTTTATTAGGCATTTTACTGTCTAACAAAATGTCAATTGGTAAAAGCTTCTGCATATTTTAGAATAAAATAATTTAACAATTTTTCATAGCTACTAACCTGGACACCCTTCTAGATTTATTGGAATAATGGTGTAGCTGGTTTAGAGTTTCTGCAATATTTGTGTTGAGTATATTTTGTAGCTGTTAATTTCCATTGCCTTCTTTCTCTAAAGCAAGTGGAGGGAACTTCTTAAAGAGCAAAGTTATCCAAGTACATTTGTTCGTATTTTCCTCCCTGCTGTAGTTTTTTCTGTGGTCAGTGAAATGGAAAGAGAAGTGTGGTTCAATATTCTGTGTTCTGTCCATTGAAATGGTATGGGGTTGTTCCTGGTATTAATTAAAACTATTTTTTTAATTGACTGAAATACAAAAGATTTGGACTGTGTTGATGTTTCTTTTAATTTTTTCTTAGTTTAATTTTAGAGAAACATTGAAGAAATCTTAGCAGATGTAAATATTTCTGAGAATATGAATCTCTGTATGTTCTGGATCATATTATTGATTGATGGATCAATTTATAAGCATAACACAGCTGACTTCTAATGGTGCTTCGCATCTGCTTTTTTGGTGGTGGCACTTTGACCATTTTACATAAAGCTTTTCTGAGCCTTGTACATACTGAGTTAAACACTGCTTTTGCTGTATAAGTGATGCTGGCTTTTGTGATACTTTGTGTAGGTGAATATGACCAAAACAAATTGAAATAGCACTTTGCAGAATTTGGTACAAATAATAATAAACTGCTGTAGAACTGCTGAATTACAGCTTGTGTTTCTAGTTTTACTTTGGGTTTTCTTTGGGAAGCAAAATACTTAAATTTTTCTGAAAAAAGGACTCTAATATTACAAGTGTTTTCCACTCATTAAACAGAAAACAACTACTAAGTTAAGGTTTACAGCAGATGAAGAGATGGAAAAGGAAAAAAAAATAATCTGTTGGGGTTTTTTTCTGTTTGTGGATTTTCATTTTTCTTGGGATGTCTCTGTTCCCAGAGTACTACCTCGTTATTGTTTTCTATGTACAATTTTTATACTTTTCAATACCTTGCTAATAACAACTTCCTGTTTACTGTCATGCTAGATTTTGGAATTGATGCTGTTTAACAAGTTTCCTGTCACAAGTAACATTTTTTTATTCCATTTGAGGGTTTCTGGTGCCAAGTATCATATTCTGAGTTCATTAATTAAGTTGCAGTTTGAACTGGTGCAGTAAAGATTTGTGTAGCAATACTAACTTGAGTTTGAAAGATGCTGAATAAAATAATTGGATCCTACGATGTAACTGGGTCATTTGAAATGTTAAGCAATCATCTATTTTAAATACACAAGGATTAGAAATTTGAGATGGCTAAACTGTAAAGCACACATGGAAGATGGGTTCTAGTGATTCATTGACCATAAAAGGAGCAATGTCCAGGCAGAGTTATGTTCTACTTGGTAAATTAAACTATTTTAAAAACGTGAAAGTGGAGTTTCTGAATCACAAAGACTAGTAAAGCTGAAGAGTATTGGTGTATAAATGTGAAAGCAGAAGACATAAGAAGAGATAAGTGGTCTGGAGGTAGACTAAATTGGAGTGTTCACAAAATTAAAATATGGAACACTAGCACAGCCACCACCATGGTACTGTTGAAGATGCATTCTTCCTGAAGAGTATGACAGCTAGCAGTTCAGTAGAAAAGCAATTAAAAAAAAAAAAAAAGTAATAGAGGAAAAGATAAAAAATGTGTACAGCTTAAATACATGGGGAGAGTATATATGACAGGAGGATGGAAAGTTTAGGAATAGGATTATCAGGACTGTTAGCTGGAGATTTTGACTTTTCTGAACACATTGCTACTCTGGAAAATCTCAGCTGCCTCACTTGAGTCTGATATAAATTTTATTTAAGCATTTTTGTAGTCTCTTGATGAATCTTTACATTATCATTTTGATCAAATGTATAAAACTCAAATCACGAGTGAAAGACAAAAATGGGGAAGTGATTCTACAAAGGATGGTATTAAAAACTCAAAATGACAGAAGTTAGATAGCAGAGTGTTGCTGTATGTGTTGAAAAATATGCAAAACGTGTGGTTTTGACTGGATTAAAGAAACACCTACAACACAACCCAAAACCAACAACAATAATACACACCCTAGAAACTACCTGTTAGTTACTTCAATGTTACTGTGGTGGAAGGAGCAGGAGCAGCAGAAAAAGAGCATGTGATATGTTGAGGTGTTATCTTTATAACAGTTGTAAATCACCCTTCTTTTGGTTTTGTTTTCTATTTTCTGTGACTTTTTCCTTTTTATACTATTAACTCTTCCAGTTTTGGTTCCATTACCTGCCAGGTTATGTACCATTTAATTTCTGAGTTTTTCACAGATGTAAGTGCAAGAGGAGCATTGCCCTTTCCCCTTGGATACAGATTTTATTTTAAGAAACTCTATTGATGATTTCCTTGACAGAAAATCAAAATTACATGAAAGAGAATGTGTATTAGTTTGTTACCTTCCAAGTCTGTTTTTGTGCAGGAGTAAACTTTAGAACAGGTCTCTTGTTTCAGCTTCCTTGTCTCACATTAACAGTCATTTTATTTGGAACTGATGGGTCTGTGTTGAGTTCAAGTCATAATTACTTGCATAATTTGCAGCACTAAGTACTATATCAGTGCCTGTACTTAAAATAACAAGCTCGTTTCTTTCAAATATAGGATTGTTGCAATACTTAATGGAGAGTCTGGAAGATTTGGCTGTGATTGGTAGTTGGTTTGATTAGTCCTGTTCTCTGGGAGTAAAATTATAATCTGTCAGTCCACTAACATTTTTTTCCCCTGTTACTTAGGTGGATTGTAGACATGGAAGGTGCTCCAGGAACACTATATGAAGGGGAGAAATTTCAGCTTCTATTTAAGTTCAGTAGTCGGTATCCTTTTGATTCGCCTCAGGTAACTGCTTTCCTCCTTGTTGCTTAATGCTGCCTTTAAGTTATAGCTGCCTGACACATGCTGAATGTTAATATCATCCACATATCCTAATGTGATATTTAGGTACTTTGTATCAAAGACCTTGTGCAGATACCTTTTCTTTTAAAAATGACTCTGCAGTGAGGTATATTGCTGTGACAGCCTACTTGGTTTCACAGGAGATGAAAGAGCAGTGTAAACTGGAGGCTTTGAGGTTGATGTTCATATTATATGAAGGAGCAACACAGGATAAAACAGGAAGATTCCCTTTGGTGTAGATGTAGAGTAAGCAACAAACTGCTGCTTTGTCCTCTCTCTTTGTTTCCAACTTCTTTTTTTGTTTTTTCCCCCTAGTTTGTTTTTAAGCCTCTTGCATCTTCTCCGCTGCCATTGTTAATGCAGCTGGAGAAATATTGTGCTTGTGGTAGGGGTTCTCTTAAGTACATGACATCTTTATGAGAGGCCTGGAAATCTAGTGGTTATAATTGAGGTGTGAGATACTGTGATGCTTTCATCGCAATGTAAAGAACTGAAGCAGCAGCAATACTAGTGTAGGCTGCAGAATGAGCTCTGTACATCTATCCGTCTGTTACCTCAGGGAAACATTACAAAACATGCCTGGTAAGAGCAGTGTTTGGCTATCACTCCCTGCTTTTCTGAAAAAGGGAGAAGAAAAGCAAGAATGCCTTAGTTCTTGTCCTCTCTGTTTCAGCTCAAAGTTCCAAGAGTGATCTCTGACACTTTGTCATTGGTGTTGAAACTGAAGCACTGAGCTGTGAGAGACATTTAAACCATAAACATTACATATTTTTAGATACTGTGGTAAAAAATAGAATGCTGACTTTTCAGTCTTAGGTTTTAAGGAACAAACTGACCACCTGTGCTTCTGCACCTCATGAGGTTTGCATAGGTGAGCCACAAGATAGTAACCACTTCCGTTTGGTTTCAAGTAGGTACAGTTTGTACTCATTACCCAACCTGTGTGTGTGGCTCTGTGCAATTTATTGTAAAACAGCAAATTACATCCGTACATGTACACTCACTTTTAGCACAGAAAACAATTAAGAATTTAAGTACTGTATACTTGGTGGTTGTTGATGGCTAGAATTTCTGTTAAAAAAAGGCTGCTGTGTAGTAAGTTCATTCTGTATTACAGACCTGTGAGTCATTTCTCTTCCTCAAATCTACTTACTGTGAATTGACAGTCTACACTTCTGCTGATTAATCACTTGTTTTTTTTCTGCCTTTAAATGTATGTTGTCTGTCATAGTGTGCGTACTTTTACTTACCTAGTATGCTTAGTTCTGGTTTTCCTATGAAAGGAAAACATTAGATAGAAGTGAAACACATTACTGGATTATGAAGGTAAGCCCTTCAGTGCTTAAGAAATATCAGTTTAAAGACCTATGAAAGATCATTCTGCATCCAGTTTTTCTGCTGCCTTAAAAACCTGCCATTTGGCAAATATGTTAAGCTCTCTAATTTCAGTTTCCTATATGATGAGGGTGTTGTTTCTTTCTTGTAGTCAGTGATGAGGTGGGTGTGTTGTGTACATATCTGTACATGTACAAATATCTGTATAACTTAGGAAGCACTTAAGCTTCTGGGTATTATGGTTATAAGTGGTAGAAATTTATTATGTCATTGCATAAAAGATGACAGTGTTATGTTGGATAAGGAGCTCAGGAGAATAATGCTGCTACAAAGATTTCACTTTTACTCCATTTCACTTGGTCCTGAGCCAACTATGTATTTGACAGAAACTTGATGTAAGAGCCATAGTTGTCAAAATTTATTTTCTAACCATTTTTTGACTGTGATATCTTTTATGGAGAGGAATTTGGGTTCTAAACGTTCTTCCATATTCATCCATGTCAATAAAACCATATGCCATTTGAAATAATGATCTACAAATATTTCCTATATGATATCATACTTCAGTTGTACAAGTCCTTTATTTAATACTTTGTAGGATTGATGTATTTTGCTTTTTATGCTGGAACCTGGATGAGTTGTCCAGAACTTAATTTATATTGTTTACAAGGTTATAGAGATACTTATTTATGAATGTCATTGTATTTTGGCTTATGAAATAATTAAAAAATGATGTTTTGACTAGGCAACTGTATTCCATATGACATGACAGACTGAGCCTGCGAGATACAAAAAGTTTAGTTTGATGTCTTTTACACTGTTACCTTTGCATTTTTCTGTACTATATAAATATTCATAGGAAAACCCACTACATTTTACCATTTAACTTCATCTTCACTAGCTGTTTAGGCTTTCATTGTTTTATTTTATCTCAATAGCTTCCAAAGTGAACCTAACATGATAAAGTATATTCTTTAATGTAAGTGAAAATGGCAGATCCACTTCTTTAAATAAGATTTATTGTTTTCCCAAAAGCTATACAGTTTTATTTAAATTGTAGACAATGAATTACAAATACATTTGTTCTTTCTTTTTTAGGTCATGTTTACTGGAGACAATATTCCTGTTCATCCTCATGTTTATAGCAATGGTCATATCTGTTTATCCATTCTAACAGAAGACTGGTCTCCAGCTCTCTCAGTGCAATCTGTTTGTCTTAGCATTATTAGCATGCTTTCCAGCTGCAAAGAAAAGGTATGAGCTTTTTTAGCACTGTTAGAGTAGAATAAGTAGAAGTTAATAGTTTTCTACTTTGCAAATTGAGACTTTAATTTCTCAAATTCTAAAATAGGCAAAACTATCTACATTTCTACTACTGAGAAAATACTAAGCTAGGACTGCAAAATAAATAGTACAGTAAATACTTTGTAACTTTTTATGGTAACCTGCTCATATATCATTATTGGAAAAGAGGAATGAGTGGAACCTGTCAAGTTGTACTAATTGTGAAGTTCATTCATGCTTTAGGACAAATCTTTGTATATTGATTCTGTCTCTAAAGTCAGTGCAAAATGACATCAAGATGTCTTTAGTGCAGATGTTTGTAAGGTTTTGCAGCTGTACTGTTTGTGATCTTGATCATTTTCATTTCAGAACAGTAAATGGTGCTAAGCTGCTTTTTTGGTCATAGATGTGTGGCACATACCTTAAACTTTTTCTGTAGAGAGACTACCCTTTTACTCTCGACCATTTCTTTTGCAGTGGAGTATCTGTGAAAGTTGGATGTGGTCAGAGCTTGACATCTGTGCTGTCCAAACATGCATATTTATGTCACATCCCAGTTAGTCTTAGTCATGTGTATGTGGTAGAAAACCCCCCAAAATGGCTTTGTATTTTTTCCTACACTTTGGGTTTGCATAATGGTGACACTTAGGAAAAAAGTTGAAGAACATTAAGTATTGATCAGATATAGATGTTTAAGTTCATTTTTTTCACCTACTCCCACCTGAGACTAATGGATGTGAAATGAATCTAATATATCAGAACTAGATTCCAGACTGCAAAGGAATTAGGAATTTCATTTGGGTTTTAATTTTTTTTTTGTTTTGTTTGGATTGTCTCTAGTAGGAATTGTTACCTGGATCCTTAAGAGATTTTTTTTTTTGTCAAAGGTCTAGCCTTGCCTGTTACCCCATTTTCACTGCATTTGCATGCTGCCTTTCGTAAGCTTATTAAATAGCTTATGTATTACAATGTCAGGATTGTTTGATTATTTGTAGGTCTTTTCTGTTGCAGAGGCGACCTCCAGATAACTCATTTTATGTAAGAACGTGTAACAAGAATCCAAAGAAAACAAAATGGTGGTATCATGGTAAGTATTTAACTAGGACCAGGAGTTTTGAAGTTCTTTTCATACTGAAGGCGATTAAAATGTAGGAAAGTAAGATAACTTGTTCAAAGCCTTAAACTATCTTCTTAAATTTCAAAAAGTTACTAAAATCCTGTTTCTGAGATAGCCTGCTGTCATTTTTTTATATCACATTTTAATAATTCCTGATGGAAATTTAAACAGCAGAGATTTATGTTTTGATTTGTAGGAATTTCAGTGAAAGTTCTTGTAAACTGTCTTAGTCCTTGACAAGTCTTAAGTTTAGGGTTGGAGAAGGTCTGTAATGAAACTAGGTTTATCTCTAAGCTCAGGGTTTTTTTTGTTTTTTTTTTGTGATTAAGATGCCTATATGCTTGTAAACAGCTATGTGTTTTAATAGATTTCCACTGTTAATCAGAATTTGGTAGGTGTTGGTACAGTTGGCTGATGTAAAGGCTCTTAAGAACTAATAGTTAATAATATAGCAGTAAGATTCTCCATATACATGAAAAAATACCATGTTAAAATTGCTATGTATAGTATTACAGTGTCTGCAGTGCTGCTGTTGTGTTGCTTTGGTTTGGGGTGGTGCTTTTTTTTTGTTTCTTTCCATGTACTCTCTGTCTGGCTTTATGCTTTGTGGTTTCTTTCTTCTGCCTCAGCATTTGTCATCCTCTTTGCAGATCTGGGGTTGGCTGTATGTGTGTTTGTCTTACCCACTCCATTGGTGAGGAAAGAAAGGAGGAGGTGTAGACACAGGCTATGCTTTTCTTCTATCCTTTCTTGTTGGCCAATACTTTTATTTGCTTTCCCTAGGAAAATACTGTACAAATGGTGGTTATCAGAAGCCCATGTATTTTGGGAAGGGATGTGTTAGAACAAGTAGTACTGTATGCTAAGGTGATGCAGGAGGAGTTGATCCCATCACTACCTTTCACTGAAGGCTCCATCGTAAGACATCCTCAGTTTTTCATTGCCTCCCCAGCTCAGAACATGTTCTGTCCCCTATGTGAAATGAGACCAGGTATTTTGATACAGTGGGAGTTAATGACTGGAGAGGCAGATGCCAAAGTCTTCACCCTTAGATTCTTAAAAGTCTATGGATGCTTTAACAACAGATACTTCAGAGTTTCATAATAGTTGCTGAAACACATTGATTTTTGATATATGGTAATGTAACAGAATTAAACTCTGTTTCTCATAACACTCTACTAGTATCTCTAAAACAAGGTGACTTCAGTTACAGTAAGAGGAGTGCTGTATGTCATGGGATTAAAAGGTGTTTAAGAAACTCAGGACTGTTTGTTGTGTGGTTGTACATTATGTTGGTTTTAATTGACTCCAAGAGTAGTAATCATGTTGCCCGCAAGGCTGGGTTTTTCATCTTCACCAGATTATTCAGTAGTTACTTTCTCTTCTCTTTCTGTTTTTGCACTCTTGTAATGTGTTTGGTGCTTCTCCATTTCTAGTTTTGCTTCCTCTTTATTAGCAATTTTGGGAGAGTTTTTATTAACTATTTTTACTTGCTAGTTATTTTAAAAGAGAAACTAGTGAAGTTTAATTTATTGGCTTTATCTCGTAATTAACATTCTGTCTACTTCAAATTTGTATTAGTCTTGTTTTGATTCAGGATTGAAGTCTATCAAGGAAAGCAGTCTGCAGATACGACTTTGATTTCTTATTAATGAAATTCATTTTGAATTAAACAAAACACCAAATGAGTATGAAAAGAAATGTGGGTTATCTGACTCTGAAAGTTGGTATATAATTGTGACTCAAAACCATCGAGCTGCTTACAGTCCACTGAACAAGCCAATTAATTACTTCAAAGTAACTATGCAGTGTCTATTTTCTGAAAGTCAGAAAACCCTAACTCCCTCCCCAAATTCAGAGCAACCTAGAAAACCAACCTGAAGCAAGAGAAAGCAAGTCAGTTCATTTAAATAACTCATACTGTTTTGCTTCATAATATTTTTATTTGGTTTTTAACTTCCTTTTTGAGTACTAAGTACAAAGGACGTAATGATTAAAAGTTCATTGGTCTTTTCTTCCCCACCTTTAGATTCTTGCATTAAAAAATAAAACATGCCTGATGTCCACTGGACAAAAATTGTCTTAAACGCTAGAGGGTTTTTCCTTCAAGTTTTGTGTGTCAGTTGCTGCTTCTCTGTTACAAATAATTTTTTCTCTTCTGTGGGCATAAAAAAAAGACTGCTAAAGCATGATCTTTAAATTTTCAGTGTTTTCTTAATGGGTTTGAAGAGGTTATGTATTACACTAAAATGGGAAGTGTAGCCTACCTGCTAATTTTAACCACTTCTCCCTGGAAAAAAAACAAAAAACAAAACCAACAAACTGTCTTCAACGTTATGTACACCTGAAAAGATGTACAAGCCCTTGGAAAAGGTGGTTCTGTCATCTTCGTTTTCTTCTGCTGCTTCAACTACAGTGTCACATATCTAATCTTGTGGTTGAACCACTTTGGGCTGGGTAAACTAAGGGGGAAAAAACCCAATCCCCACCAAGAAAGAAAAACAGCTGTCCAAGGGTAACCTCTGGGTGAAATAAATGCCAGTGCTAATAGTATAACATGTGGAGGGAGATGCAGAGTGGTTCTGCCCCTTCAGTTGTCAGCTAGCCATTGGACTGGTTAATTTCAAATTGAATCCGTGTGTTTTGAAACTTTTAATATATGCATTTGAAAGAATATTTTTTTCCCAGTAAGTGCCTGGGATTTATTTAGCTGGGAGCAAATAGTGCATGGTTTAAAGCTTATATAAAGCAAACAGATATGAACACAGAGGGATAAAGTGGCACTTTGAGATATATTCTAACATATAAACATGTGTATCTGTGCATTTAGCTTATTACAGAGCTTTTAATCTCTCATTTCATCCCTGCCCCAAAAAAGTAACTTACTCCATAAGCAAAATTAGGGAGAATTGTTTGCTACAAACTAAAGTCCTCACAGGCCCTGTTTCAAAACTCCTGATCTTTGATAATTAAAAATATTTTTTAGATTCTCTGCCCTACCCAACATCTGCTTCAACAGTACATTGAATTTCATGTTGAATTTCAATCTGAGAATTGATCATGTTGTGTTAAAGGGGGTCTTCCAGATACAGTTTTTTGGGGCATCCAGGCTGAAATTAATTTCATAAAGCTGTTGCCTGGCTTTGCTGTTGTCAGGAGGCAGATTTTTGTGAAGAAAGAGGGTAATGGTGTTTGTTTTCAACTAGCACCTCCTTACTGACTTTGCATTTCATTTTGGTTGGTTTGTTTGTTTTTTTAAGAAGGAAGCTTTTGCTCTAGTATTTGGGCTAAACTTCTAGTACACAGTTTAAATACCCCTTCTGTCTTTCTTGTATCCTTGTCCAATCTTTTTTGTGTGAACCCTGCTATCAAATGAAGAGGTTTTTACATGTAATAGTATTGATGACATAATGTTTTCTGGTGAGAACTCAGAATTGCTTGCTGCTGCTTTATACATACTAAATCTGTAAACAGTAAAAATGCTATTTATGAGGCTACATTTTCTAGGTGTGCAAGGTTACAAGCAAATGCAATAAAAATAAATAGACAGTAAGCTTGCTTTCTATTAACAAGCTTAATATTTACTGTTACCAGGTGCAAATATACTGCAGGTTGATGTGTGGAATAGAAAGCTTAAAAGGAAGAGCTTTCACAAATACTTGCTTTAATATTCAGCATAATGCAGAAAAGGTTGGCATAGAATATGCTTTTTTGTAATATATTCTGTCCAATCACTGTATATAAAATTTAGTGAATGCAAGTTATTTTCAGGTTTAAGATTTTTTGAATTGTGGTAGTAACCTTTTTTTTTTTTTTTTGCATAATTCTGTCAGCTCTAGTCTGTGTTAATTCTTGACAAATAAATGAATATACATTTACCCACAACAAGGGTTGAGAGTACATCAGGAGAAGCCCATTCTGCCAGTTTTATTGCAATCTATTCCTTACAAAAGGATTTCTCAATTTGATAATTGTTCTGGACCTGCTGTACATCAGGGGAACAAAATGTTAAGCATATTTGGTCTTTCATTTTTCTGATGAGTGGCTTTCTGAGTATCAAGTGTGGGAATTACTGTCCTCTTAATGCAATATTTGCTAATACTAATGTGTTTGGGGGTGTACATGTACTTTGAAAGTTTTGTGTTTGATATTCTTTTCTTTTTCCTCTGAGTCATTATTGAAGAAAACTGCAGAATTATTCAGCCAGTGTATTTCCACAGCATGTTACTGTCTATGCTAAGAATTGTTTCTGCATACAGCACCTTGCTAAATTGGACTTAGAATGTTTATATGTTTTTCCATAAATGCTCTTCTTTTATTTTAAAGATGACACATGTTGATGCCACCATTTTGTGATCCTCGTAGCAGAAGATAGTCCTACTGAGAAAATGAGCACTTTGATCATTCAGTCTTTGAACTTTAACCTTTGACTGGAAGTGACCTATAGGCAATGAAGACTACTTCCTTTGACTGCATTTTTACTAGTGTGCATTCTGGGCGCATGTTGATCGCTGGTTCAGTCCATGCAACTGACATGCTTTTATTAGTCATACAGTATTAATGCAGGTGTCCAGAAATGTCAGAATAATTCCATTATTTTTATTTTAAGCTTTTGGAAGAATTCCAGGTCTTCATATATTGTGCAATAACACTGAGCTCCTTGGCGGTTTTGGTGCATCCATTGCCGGCAATGGACATTGTACCAGGGAAAGGTTTTGCTCCTGCCACAAGAAAAGATTGATGCATGACAGAGCTTATGAAAGTTTCGGATATATATGGATTATAAGCAAGGGATCTACCATTACCTTAAAAACCTCCCCATTCTTTTATATTTGGATTCTATGCACTGTGATCACCAAACTAGCAGCATGAGTTAACATGCTTAGCTGAAGGACTGTAATAAGATCATTGCATATTTATTAAATTGTTTATCTGCTGTCAAATTGTTTTGACATGGAAGGTTTTTCAAGTGACATTGGCAGAGAGGTACAATGTTATCCCTATGGTGAAATAAAACTACTTTTGTACATAGTTATTCATATCTCTGAAGCAAAGGTATGAGTAATTTAGGGTATGAGTGATTTAATCAAGAATTTATTTTGGACATAGGAGAGGATGGCAGTGATATAACTGAACTTGCTGCAGTCCGTAATTGGGCCTGTAATTTGTACTTAAGAGCTTTTTCCAAATAGATTGCACACTGTTATTTCCTGCTAGCCATCAGCATGAGCCCTACTGCCTACACCAAGATTTCGTTTATTTATGTGTTTGAAAGCAATCCATATAACATTTTTTGTTTGCATTCACTGTTTCTTTTGTTGTTGTATGTCATGTTTGAATGTTACAAAACAATATTTTGATTGAAAAGCTTTGTCAGAAGATATTTTCATGTAAATTATTTCTTTATCTTGTAAGCATCATCTTGTCTTTTAATCCTGTACTATAAAAAGAAAAAAAAATACATTTTTGACAGAGGCTTAATGTTTTGACAAAAAAGTGTGGACCTTCTTATTTAAGTTTAGACTAAAGTATATTTTCTTAACTTGCTTGTCCCACGCAGCCATACCAATTTTTTTCCAGGCTTTTACTTCACCAAAAAAGGGGAAAAAGCCTAAAATCAGATTGACATTTTTCTATGGAGCAACATTTATTGAAATGATAGTTGTTCTCACCACTCTGTAATATTTTGATACTGCAATTAGGTTGTCTTTTTAGGAAGCACTTTTATAAACTTAATACCTTTACACATATGCAAAATTTCTATAGCTTTTTTTTACTGTTGCCTTACTGTTGCACTCCAAAAAAAAAAAAATTTTAAAAAAATTCAAGCGATTAATGCATGAATGTCTAAATCAAGTAAATACTTGATTTAAAAACAAACAAAAGCCAAAAAAACCCCCCAAACACAACCCAGAATGAATAACTACAATAACAAATAGAAAATTGGCTGAAAATACTGATTTTTTTTTTTTCTTACTGCTGTATAACTGACAAGTTTTATAGCCTTGTACATACTTCTCTGTTACCTAATGTTTAAAACATTTTAAAGTATAGATGCTTAACTCAGGGTGGATAGAGTTCAGATGGATTTGCTTCAGAGACGTATTTTGTACAGCGACTGACTTAGGAATACTGCCAGTGGAGTGAGGCTACAATATACTTCAGGAACTGCTATTTTTTCTACTGTATTGAAAATATCTCTTGGCCTTTAAAACTCAATGGTAAAATCTAGCTTTGGATATAAATTTGATGCGTGTATATATTTTCACAGTGAGCCTTTAAAACATAGAATTCAGTTTCTTTTAAGAGCCAAAAATAATAATTTTAATCAAATGAAATAGTTCTGCTCCTGACTTTTTGTTTAGCAAAATTATATTGTTGTGAGTTAAACTGGTTATTTTTGGAAATGGTTCATAAGAAAGAGCAGTAATCTGATAATCTGTATGTTCATGTTAACTGCTCTGTATTGACTGAAACAATTGACGCATCTTTGGGAAATTCATGTATGAATGGTTCACGTAATGGTTCCTATCAAATAGTCCACAGGAAAGAGACCTTATTGTGACACAAGGTAATGTCTCTGAAGAAATGGTTCAAGTACGTCTTCTCGGATTCATGTATCTCTTCATATGGTGGCTTGCCATACTACAGTACATGGTTTCAGAGAAGCTTTATGACATACTGTATGTATTTTGAAGATGGGTGTTGTAGTGCAAAGAATTATATGTTTTATTGACTTATGCTATCACATGGACTACAGTGAAGTTAAATAATGGAATTTATGCTGCTCTTTAATAACCCACCCCAATAATATACTTAGATCAAAAATTGCAAAGTAGATTAGAAGAGAATGTACCTCAGGTCTTTTAGTTTACAGTAGAAATGCCTCCATTCGTTCTCTTGTAGATCTGTGGGTAAGTTCACCTATATACAGAGGGCCAAGACAAAGCCTGTATACCACTCAAGCCCTCAAAATAATGCAACTATTCTGACAATGTTATGATGTCCTGGAATAGGGCTTGAATTAGATGAAGGTGGTGCCATCCTTTCTGTAGGGTGAGCCTGTGTATGTAACTTCTTTCACTTGGAATTTCTCACATGAAATGGTTACAGAATTGGCTTGAAACGATCTTGCTTTTATTTTGTGTCAATGTTCATGTTGTTAAACACTTTGTTTTGTGTTTAGCGTCTTTATACTATAACACAATAAATTCTTGTTTTAAAATAGATTACTACCCTTGAATGGAAATACGTGTGGACCTTTTCATGGTGGAGTGCAGAAGCACTGTTCCTTACATTGAGCTATTCCTGAGACAGATTGTCAGTAATTCCAAAATCCTGTGATGGATATAAAGGGAGGAATTTGGATAATAGTGAGGTGTTTCCTCTTTTCTCCAGAGGGTATCTGTTCTAACAGCTGAATGAAATAGTTTCTTAAAAAAAAAAATCACTAATGCTTTCATTTCTCATAGATAGTTCCTTATTGTGGTTCTTTGCCAAGTGCTTCCAATATTGAATGGGGAGTTTCAGATGCAGGATTCTTGTTTGCTTGCAGTGGTGGGAAGAGAGTTTCTGTTACTTTGATAGCATATAGTAAGGACTATTAAATGAAACTTCTACTGCCTCATATCAATAATTGCTTTCAGTTTTGTACAATTCTTTATTCAAGAGGTGGTGGCTTCAGTTTTGGAAAAAGTAGCTTTGGAAAAGGCACTTTCTACATACCTGAAAACTTTTTTTTTGTGAAAAATTAAATTTTTAAATTTAAAATTTGAAGTATTATAAATACTGTTCTGGATGTTTGAATTTTAATTATTGTTTTATTTTAAAGTCTGACAAAATATAGTTTGCATCTCAGGTTTTAAAGTTACTGTCTAAGGAGACCATAAAATTCCCATGTCAGTAATTAAATTTTAAAGAACAGATTAAACAAATGTCTGTCAGGAAATGTTTAAATATAATTGATGATAAGACTTTCCAGTCCTGTTCTTGGTGAGTGGTTTTTTTGTCTGTTTAAATACATATTAAAAAGTGATGTTTTATAAACGTATGGGGGAAAAAACCCACCTGTGGCACTCCCATTTCTTACAACATGTCCTGTTGATACTAAAAGCTTTGCAATAGTGCAGCCACGTAACTTCTAGCTTTGTTGGGGGGAAGCCTGTATAGTTTTTGCCTCTGGTAAAGCAATTCAGCATTATGTTATGCTTGCACACTCACAAATTCTGATTGTTCTAAAAAAATAGATTTGAATGAACTTTCATTTAAAACCAGTTACTTTTAATCCACTTAATACAGCTTTGGATTTCATCTCAGGATTGGTACCTGAACAGTTGAGTGTTGAACTGGGTAAGGGGAGTTAAGCTGCCTTAGTGATACTCCATCTTCAGCTGCAGCTACACAGCAGGGTAGAAAGAGAGACTTGGGGTTTGGGTTGTGTGCCAGGTACTTGCTGGCCTGTTGTTTCCAGGACTTCTATGAACTTACCAAACCATCAGGTTTTAAAATACCTTAATAACATTGAAAGAGTAGAAATATGATGAGCCTTCTTTTACTATATTAAAATATAATTCAGAAATACAAATTTGAAAATAGTTAGCCACTGCTTTTATTTCATTTTACTGATAGTAGCAATACAGGAAATCTGTTCACTTACCATAATTTTTTTCTTCCAGATTTTAAGTACTTTTGAAAGTAGTGTTTGAGGGGTTTTGAGCCATTGAATCAACTTAAGAAATTCTCTCTGGAGCTACTTGAAGCAAGAGGTTTTTACATTACAAAGTAAGCGCACTTTCAGCAACTTCACAGTTCCATGAAGTGGCTTCCTTAGAAACCTGTATGGGTTTCATTCCGATAATTTTGTATTTAAACCACAAAAAACTAAATACAAAATCAATTGATCATGCAGTGTATGATATCAGCATAGAGATCAGATTTATAAGCCTCTGTCCACAATCTAATTCAGTATAATACTCCACTGGAGCTCTTGAGGTGTGTGTCAGTGTTACTAGGTTAGATTGTATTTAACACACTTCAGTTGACATACATGCTATCTGCAAATGCAACTTTATCTTTTGAAGTGACCTGTTTCTCTTGATTTCTGGTGAAAGAGCTGCTTACAAGAGACTACTTTTCTGGAGTAGGAATCCAGTGAAGAACTGAAAACCATAATGATAACCTTGCAGAAAGATGTTACAATCTGAAATCCTGTAACACTGACCACAGTTGCTTCCCTCATGCTGGTCTGTCTTTTGGTATTTAAAGTCTTCATGATAAGACCTTAAAAGTTGACTCTTGTGTTCAGGTGGGAACCTATTCTCTTGGAGCCTTTTGGAGTGCTTTCAGCCAAATAGGTCGGGGTTAAATCTGTTCAGATGGATGTTCTGGGCCCTTTCTCTGGATAATTATCTGGATGGTGTTAATGCAGTTCTCCAGGGCATTTTTATCCTTAAAAGACAAAATCAAGCAGGGTTCCTGCTATTCAGTGTCTTCTCTTGGTTTACAGCCTATGAAAAGGAAGAATTTATGCTCCTCCTTCCTTTCCAGCTCCATGATTTACATTCCTGCCTTTCAGCTAGCTTTATTTGTCTGAGTCTGCACTGAGATGATTTAGCATGTTAAACTGGTAGGACACTGACTTGAGAAGAAAAAATTAAAATCTTTTCAATTAGCAAATTGAATCAGCTTGCTGCATAGAGTTTCAGAGCTAGTGCAAGAAATGGAAAGGATTGCGCAGCTGGGGCTTGGAAGGTGATGGCTGAAACCTGATTTGTGTCTTTAGACTTTTCAGCATAAAGTAGTAGAAACCTTGTTTTATGCAGAAGCTGAGTTATGTGAAGCCTGAGAGCTGGAGGTCTCGTCTGCCTATGACAATTTATGGCAGGGGTTCTCCTATTTGTAGTAACTGTTTTCCATTAAAAATTCTGAAGTTGTTCCAAAGCCTCTGAGTAATCTGACCTCTCCATTTAAATGCCTTGAGTTTCTGCACCCCAGATTTTTTTTTTATTAGTTTCTCATTTGTTCATTGTTTTTTGTTTTTTTTTGTTTTTTTTTTTTTTTGAAATAGCAAGCCTGCTAGCATTGCTCTGGGTATTTTTGGTTAAGTTTTTATCAGACCAACCTTGTCAAACATTAATTCATTACAGAGTTACAGATTCAGTGAAGCTGCTCAGAAAATGCACAGTTATTTTCTGAAAGGAAGGCAATCATACTACAAATCAAATGTTCTTGAGATTAGATAGCAAGCCAAATGTGGTACAGTCGTCTTCTAATACAGAAAACACTTGAGACTGATGTCTCAGATACAGATCTCATTTGTCTATTGTGTGCTTAAAGAACAGAACTCTTGCACTGTGGTAGGAGGTTTTCAAGACAAAACCTTGCTGTTCCTCATCTCACCCATTCCTCTGAAGGTTGTTCAAAACGGATGAAATTTGATGGTTTGGTCTCAATTTATGGTTTGCACTGGGTCAGTAAAGTGTGTAGCAGCTGTCATTCTGACTGGTGATGAAGGATGAAGAGCTCTTGGCTATTTCTCTCTTACTCTCTAAACTGTTCATACGTCTGCAGAAAACATTGATAGCTAGATTGCACATGCACGAAATAAAGTACGCTTTTATTTGGTGTAGACAATTTGTTGAAGATTAGTACTGTGAAAGCAGCAGTATAGGAAGTATACATCACAAAGTAATCAAGTCACAAAGGCTGATAAAGCACCCAATCTCCCGATGGTTTACAGTATATTGAACCTGAAGTCTTGATTTGCATAAGGATTTGAGTTTATGGGGGAAAAAGTAAATTGGGGCATCACCTTGCACTAATACATGTTTTATCACACTGAGTTTTGTACTAAACTCTTTTAATCCCTTGTGTATCTGTGCGCTGTCATATGCCCCAAGCAGTTACTTCTGTCTTAAGCATCATGCTGGAATAACAGGTGACTTTGGTTTCCTTAAGCAAGTAACAGTCCAGACAATCCTGTGTGGGGAATGATCTTCCAAATGCTCCTGCAGATTGTTTTGAATAACAATGAGGATGTCATACAGACATAAACTATCCTCACAAAGTGGGGTGGGAGGGAGAAATGGGGCAACAACCAGTTGTTGAAGGTTAAATTTGGTATATTTCTGAAGATTCTGGTAGAATCGGTGGCTGGTGGTGTGCTGTGTTAGTTATTTTGGGTTTATTTTAAGAGGACATTAGTAATTGCACCAAGCTGTAATTCTTAAATGACAAGAGTTCTTCAAAAGTGGAAGAGGGCAAATGCAATGCAACTATGGTCACGATGCAACTGGAAGATCAACATCTTGTATGAAAAACCAGTATCAGAGTTTGTTGGGATATGCTATACTAAGAAAAACTGCTGGTCCAGTCAAACTTTACAATTCAGAGGATTGATAGCCCACCTCATGAACAGAGGTAATAGGTTTCTTTTGGCCTTTGCAATAATTTTTCAGAAAACCTAGTAAACTAAGTAAAGTAGACCTCATACAGCACCTGACAAGAGATTCTGAAGTCTTGCAGGTGAAGAATACACCTGGTATGGTACATCACTATGTATGTTTGTAATTCTGAAAGTTCCTTCTGTTAGCTTCCTTTCTTTAGGAACAGACTAAATAATATGTGGACATTACTCATGTATTCCAGTATCTCAGGTACTACTAGGGAATGCTAT